GAGCCCGGATTACAGAGTGGAAGCGGGAATGCTGGAAAACCCGGCGAGCCGGTTAAAACAGAGATAAACTCAAAGAAACCCGGATTGGAGAGCTCGAGCCTAACGCTCTCTCCTCGAGGACAGAACTCTTGCTGGACCAGACTTCCTCACAGAGAGGTCTCTGGGGACGTATTGTATCTTAAATATAGAAGACACCCATTCTGTAGATGTCCTTCAACTGTGGGAGAGGGAAGGGCCATAGAGGACCTGAATGTGAACATCCACAAAAAAACAGAAGAGCAACCACAGCTCATGATGGTTTTTATACATTTTACTCCTTAGTTCAGCAAAGTACCCCAATCTAATTTTTTATTGTATTCTCCAGCCTTTTTTTAGGATTACCATTTGTTTTTCTCGCCAAAGTACCCATTTCTGATCTTTCTGTATCTTTCACTTCACCATCCTATATCACCAAATCTTGTTGCTTTTTATTATCTAAGTTTTATTCTATTTCTACTGATTGTTAACTTTTATCTTTCCTTATCTGCCATTCATCTCAGATTGCCCAAGCACACTATCTAGTACACAGTAGTCCATGTTTAAGTGAACCAACCCCACCCACCTCTCAACTGTTAAACATATATTCTTCCTGATGACCTCCTAAGACTTCCACCCCATTCCATACCAAACAAAAATTTACCTCAATTCTCAAGGCTCCCCTTGCTTTGCCCCCTGTAATGTCTTTCCTGTGTCCTTGACCATTTTACTCAGCTTTGCAGTTATCTTTCCTTTCTTCCCTTATCCTGAGGCATCCTTCAACAGTGCAGGGTCAAGATAGCATGTGACTTGGAGATAAAGTGAGGTGATAAAATCCCTTTTCTCATCTCCATACCAAAAAAAAAAAAAAAAAAAGAAAAAAAATGTGGGGAGGGAGTGGTGTCTTGACAACTAAAGATGAATACTAAACCTGTCTGGTCTAGAAAAAACAATCCCCCTTTGGTCCACCAATATTCACATTATTCTAGGAGAGTACAAGGATGGAAATGATCCCGTGGCAGCAAACTTCTAATGTATACTAGATGACGTCACAAGTGAAGATTCAGCTACTTAGTAGGTGGAGAAAGAGAAGGGTTCAGTGTTTTAGACTTAGATGTTATTTAATTAAGGGCTGAACATTCCAGTAGTCATCTCCCACTGAAGGAACATGACTTTACCACTGGAGAGGACTAGAATGTAAAAATAGGGAAGAAAAGCAAACATTCCTGTAGTGAACCCCAATTTATAGCCAGAGAAAGTTCCCAAGCCTGGAAGAACAACTAAAAAATTTTCAAGTGATCAAATGTTCTCCTATACAGTAACAGAATCTTAAGTTTTGACTTCCTGTTCCTCTAGACCAAGGATTGGCAAACTCCATGCCATGGGTCACATTAGGCTCACTGCCTATTTCAGAATGTCCCATGAGACAAGTGATTTTTGCTTTTTCTTTTTGTAGAAACAGGGTCTCACCACATTGCCCAGGCTGGTCTCGAACTCCTGGCCTCAAGTGATCCTTCCACCTTGGCCTCCCAAAGTACAGGCATGAGCCACTGCACCAGGCCTGATTTTTAAATTATTTCTTAAATTTTTAAACAATTAAAAATCATCAAAAGAATATTTCATGATGTGAAAATTATACGAAATTCAAATTTCAGTATTCACAAATAGCTTTATTGGCTCTAGCCAAGCTCATTCATTTACATTATCTATGGATACATTTGCACTACAACAGCAGAGTTGAATAGTTTTAAAAGACTGTATTGGCCTGTGAAAAGCCTAAAATATTTGCTATCTGGCCCTTTACAGAAAAAGTTTGCCAATCCCTGCTCCAGACAAGCACTATCTAATAGAACCTTTTGCAATGATGGAAATGTTCTATATCTGTGCTGTCCAGTTCTGAAGTCACTAGCCATATATAGCTATCTGAGCACCTGAAATATGGTTAACAGTGACTGAAGAACTAAACCTTAATTTAGTTGAAATTTAAATAACCACATGTGGCTAGTGGCTACCATATTAGTATAGCTCTAGATTCTTCTCAAATCTTTCATATTGACATTTTTTGTTCCTCATGCCAAAATTTCATTCCCTTCCTGTGACATACCTCTCTATGGCTTCTCAGGGACCCCCGCCCCTAGCCCCACCTACGACATAACATCCCTTTTTCTGACTCCAAGCTAGGATACATTTCCTAGGTCATCTCTCTAGGCTCTCCATTGTCACAACTGAAGTCTAAAATCTGATCAGTTTACCAAGGGTTACCCCATTAATTAAGCCACATTATTCACACACACATAAACGTACAGATATTTATACAAGTTTCTTTGTGTCACAGGATGGCAATGTGGCTATGTTCTTTCTTTGCATGAGGCTAGTAGAAATGCCCTCCGAATGCTGGATCCCTTGTTGCTGCTACAGACTGTGATATGAATCCCCTCCCTCTAAACACATTTACAGAAGCTAAGAACAGCAGATATGTACTAGCTATTTGAATCTCAAGGAAAAAAATTCCTTTATCACTGGAACTTCTTTTCTCCCCCAGGCCTACTGAAGTTAGCTGATTTCTCTAGTTTAATAGATACTTGCTTTTTACTCGTCCTTTTTAGCTAGCCAAGAGAACAACCCTCATGCTGTCTCGATCTTGGCTAGGGAAGATAACAAAGGCATTATTTTTAAAAATTACTAAATTAAATGAAATCTACATAAATGGGTTTAGTAGAGACAGTAGTTAAAATGGAAAGAGATTAGAGTTATAACTCAAAAAAGCCATAACTTTGTATTAAAAATTATTTGTAAAAATGATCTTTAAAGTCCAAATTTTTCATACCTTCCTCCTAAGAAAAACTGGATTCCTGTAAACTTCTGACATAAAAAGAAAAGAGCAGACACCTAGTTTTCTTTCTCCAGATTAGCTACAGCAAGGAAAGAAAACTCTTACTCTATTCCACACATCTAACTACAAGGCCAAGGCTTCCTAAACTCTGATAAAGTCTCCAGTTACATTTATCCCCTACTCTGACCTTATATAAATGAGACTGAGTCCTACCTGGAAAAAAGCTGAATCCTTTAGGTACTATACAAATTTGATAGCAATTGAACTCAACCATCCAAAAGAGGGCACAGATATTTAGACTGCAACAGAAAACTGGCTCAGAAACATAAAACTTCCCTCAGGCCAAGCTAACTCTGAGTTACAGGGTCAGAGCAAAGTGCTATAAAGTACTGAACGGCTATTCCTGGACGAGTCTGCACTCAGGCTACTAAGAATTTCCATGAGGTTTTAAATTATGCTATTCATCACTGAGTAACTGAGAGCCATACCCCCAAGTTTCTCCCACACTTCCTCCCAAGTGTCTCTGCAAATAAAAGAGAGACCTTATACCACCACCACCATATGAACTAAAGACAGGCTTTGACATTCTAACTATAAAAAGGAGAAGTTTCTAAGTTACTCTGCCATTTACTCATGTGGCTCCAGCTGCATATTTTGGATGCTAAGGTGGGGTCTTGTAAACTTGTAAAGTCCTTGTAAACTTTCTTATCACCGCACACAAAACCTGATCTGTTATAGCTCCTAAGTTTTTCTTTAGGCATACACACATAATCTATCCAGGTGGAAAAATCAATCCAGACACCTCTGTCCTCAGGCTATTGTTGGAATAATTTTTGTTGCTGTTGTTTGTACTCTATGCGCTTCACCTCCTGCCTTTTGGTTTTATTTTGGTGTTAAGAGAGCCAGACAACTCCGGCACAGAATTCAAGATGCTACTGCTTGGTAAACTATTAACTGCATAGTGAACCCAGTATGGCATCATTAATAGTAGGGTCTGCAGGAGGCCAGAATTTTTTTTTCCCTAAAGAAGTGCTATTAGCCATCCTTTCCACTTTCTTCACAGAGGCTAAACAGAAAGAGAATACTACATATTTGCGTCACCAGAACAAGAATCTGGTGGGTTTTCCCTGGGAATCCAGAGTGATCAGGGCCTGCAGAACCAATGCCTAGAGCTATGCAACAAGCAGAGCTCACAGCTGAGTGAACATCAATGCATAATGAGTGCCTTATGGAGGCATTTCAATGCAAATAACGCTGAATATGAAGGATTAAAGAAAAGGGGAAATTAATCTTTTTCATAACACAGGGCATTTTTTTACTCTCCCTTACTCTCTCTTTTTTAAGTCATGCACACAACTGCTGGAGGGAGTCCAACTTCCCCAGTGTGGTGGTGTTGCTTTATAAAAAGCAGAACATACACATTTAAGAACATGAATTTCCTCAGGATGCCAGCAACTGAGATTCTGACAGCTCTTCAGAACAGCCTCAGAAACAAAGTGCTTCACCAACTAGGGCCAGACTGATAAGTAAAAATCTCATTGCACACCAACCTCTTGTTTTTCCAAAGCTCATAGCTTCCTGGGATGTGAATGGTTTAAAAGGTTTGGGTTCAGCATTTGTAGATATTTGGATGCATTTACCGAAGCAATTTTATTCTTCAGTTTGTTTCTAATTGCCTCATCCAAGTGATACTTTTGCAACAAAATAAATAGGGCAGCTTCATGCTGCTTTAGCAGGTGGCTCCATCTCCTCCCAGACTGAACCTTCCATGTTCTGGCTTCTCAAACCAAAGAACAAAGTAGAAACATTTCTTCAGATCATCCTTTCAAAAAAAAAAAGCTGCCAATGAAGGTTACTCAGCTTTTCACTTAGACTGTTCACTTTAAAAGACATCGGACTGGAGCAAAAAAACTTGTTAAAAACCTTTTTGTCCCATCACAGGTTTGTATTAAACACAGGACTAGTCAAACATCCTATTACTCTGCCAGACTATCACTGTGAAAAAAAACTAAAACCCAGGGGGTCCCTCAAAAAAAATCATTAACCTAGGTTAAAAATTTTCCTAACTATAAATACAAGTCTCAGCCAGGAAAGCAATTTCCAACTTGTTCCTTTCTCTTCTGATAATATTCTGAGAAAAATGTCAAAGACCTAGACTTTTTAAAATAGGTTTTTATAAAGAACATATTCAAAGATTTTGACCCACTACATAAAGTAAGAATCCCATTCTTTAAGAAAAATATACAGATTTTGGTAAGAGTTTTAAGTTCTGAGAAATTCAAGCCTGATACCAAGTCTTTAGATTTCTACTGTTTCAATTCCAAAGGACCACTGGACAGCAATTTTAGTGTACAAAAAACTTCACTATGCTGTATAGTTTCTTTTCTCCTGTGTCAGACAGCTTTATTCTGCTTCATTAACCCCTTCTTTGCTCCTTGATGGATCTTGGAATCCAGTTTCCCTGTAAGGGAGAAAAAGAAGTCTCATTATTTATTTTTTATATTTGCAATGCAAATCTTTTGTGGCCTCCCAGGTCTTCTGGTTACTGTGTTCCTGTCACATTCAATTATCTTGCTTCAGGACTAAAACACTTCCAAACTTCAGAGTTTCACTCTGTAAGAATGCGGAAGCAGTAGGAACACTAATACACACATGCAGAAAATGAGTATTGTCCAAAAAATCTAAGAAGTTAATATTTCTAATTTTATAGCTACTAGAAAAGAAATATGTTTTTTAGGGTGTCTGATTCTAAGGCAAATTTTTGAGGAATATATACATGTAATAAAGGAAGGCATTTCACACAGTGGGAAACCCATTCCCCTGACCAGTTAACTGGCTGAGCATCATAGTGCAATAATGCATGAACCTCCTTCACAGTGAAAAAAGCAGTTCAACTCACTCCTTAGCAGCTTCACACTTAATAGGGGGAGTGACCTGAAACAGGAGAGTAGAATCCACATGAATGCTTTACTGACAAAGGACCCCTATCATCAGCTAAGAAGGGTAAAGGTCATAGGCTGTATGACTCTTCTAAGTGTTAAACTTAGAAAACAAGCAAACTTCCTGTTCCAGGTGACCCTAGTGAGAGGTACTTTATTGATGTGGTCTCTGACCTCTGACTCCTCAGATCTCCTGGGATAGAGTTTGGCTTAGGGTAATAGCCTTAGAAATCATCCATCTCACAAAAGGATTTTAACAGAATTCCTGTTGTCTGAGAACAGACCTTGCAGTTTGCTTTCTCTCACAAAAATTCTCATTTAATAGTGATGTTGAAAATAGAAACAGTTCAGTCTCAGTACTCAAAACAAAAAAAAAAGGAGCCTGCCCCTTCAAAAGCAGCCAGGTATACTACAGGGCCATACCCACAACTATTGCTTCTCATATGTTATGATTTTCATTTATTGCAGCAATGAGGTATAAAAGAAAGACCACTGGATAGAAGTCAGAAGACCCAGGCTCTAGTCTACCTTTCTCAGATATTAACTAGCAGTATGGTCTGGGGCAAGTCATTCCATCTTTCTGGGCTTTAGTATTCTCATTTGTCCAACTAAGTTAAGAATACATGTCCAGACCACTGCACAGGGAGATTGTGAAACAAATAACCTCAGCCTAACAAGTTTCCCTGTTTTCTTAAGTCTCTCCCAAGTCCCATCCATCTCTCTCTTTAGGGTTACACTTGCTTCTGCAATAACAGTACAGTCCTTTTCTGGGCTTCCTCAGAAACCATCACTAAGTGATACTCTGAATGCCATTCCACAATAATACAATACTATTGATTTTAATTTGGGCTTTAGAGCATAGGGTGTTCCCAGGGATTTAGGAGTTCTTTCATACTCTATGCTGCCTGGCTGCAAACCTGAACATGCCAGCAATCTAGCAAAGAGCCCTATGACAAGGCAAGTAAGCCTTTGTATTTCCATAATGCTACTACCATAGTAGCTGTCAAATGGTAGATGCTCAATAAATGCTTTCATCAAATGAATTAGACAAAGAAGGTGGCCAGTTGTAACTTACCAGTTAAGCATCCTAAATCCAAATATCCAAAATCTGGAATGCTCCAATAAGCATTTCCTTTAAGCATCATGTTGGAGCTCACAGAATTTTGGATTTTGGAGCATTTCAGATTCCAGATTTTTGGATTTGGGATGCTCCACCTGTAAATTAAATAATATATGATAAAGTGCTTCATAAATTCAAAGTCTCCTGAAAAGGTAAGAGTGGTTGTGTTATTTATGCTGAGGCTTAGAGTTGTGTTTCTTAGTTATGGTCTCAGTTTCATCTTTAAATTACCATAAAACCGGCCGGGTGAGGTGGCTCAGGCCTGTAATCCAAGCTCTCTGGAAGCCGGTGGATCACTCAAGGTCAGGAGTTCAAAACCAGCCTGAGCAAGAGCAAGACCCCATCTCTACTATAAATAGAAAGAAATTAATTGGCCAACTAATATATATAGAAAAAATCAGCCGGGCATGGCGGTGCATGCCTGTAGTCCCAGCTACTGGGGAGGCTGAGGCAGGAGGATCCCTTGAGCCCAGGAGTTTGAGGTTGCTGTGAGCTAGACTGACACCACAGCACTCACTCTAGCCTGGGCAACAAAGCGACACTCTGTCTCAAAAAATAAAAATAAAAATAAAATGAAGCAGATGTTTGGTATGTAAAAAAAAAAAAAAAAAAAGAGAAAAATAAAAATAAATAAATAAATTACCATAAAACCCCATGCAAGTCTTTTAATTATATTTATTTCAGATTCCTCATATTAAAAAAGATATAACCATTTTCACATTCTCAAAGCTTTACTGTGTAAGAACATTCCAAGTCTAAGTTTCAGAAAACTCCATGCTGGCTGCGAAAGCCCTCAAGTGAGACCAGCTCATGTAAGATCAACCCATCAGAACAAAGCACTCAATAGTAGGGCAAAATAATCTCTGCCTTCAATGATGATGTCATAAAATGGAAAACTAATTGGAAGAAGAAGATATGAGAGGAACAAGGATTTCTAAGGCATTCCCAAGGATTCAGAAATTCTTTCATCCTCTGGGCTGCCTAAAAAAAACAAGACATGTGCCAGCAATCTGTGAACTTACAATAAAGGAGTTTTTTGTAGCCCTAACATCTACTAGAGTGACCATTAATAGTAGCAGCTGTGGCCATAAAGGCAAGGGACTTGGCTTGCAGGAAGCAGCAGTCATCATGGCTGTCCTCGGATTGTAGGAAATCTGAGCTCTGAGTTTTAGTTCAGCCTAGGTTTTTAAGACTTGGGATCTGGATAGTGAACTATAGTGACATACAATATAATCTCTTCATAGTAGAGTAACAATGCTTAGTTTCTGTTTTGCCCCAATATTTTTATATTAGTGCCTAAAGCACATCAGTGTTAAACCACATCCTCAATCATAGCGCCTAAGAGAAAATCAAATGCATATGTAGCAGATGAGCAAGAAGTTAAAAGGGGCAAAAGTATTTGTCATCAATTGATATAACTCTCATAGAAATTTTCACATGCTTTGCATAAAATATAACACAATATTTGCATGAGTTTATAGAGCATGAAAAGTAAAACAAATTTGCCTTTATCTCCTTAAGTGCTCAACCTATGCATTCTACTATATTTAACTTTTTTGCATTTACTAATTGGAACAGACACACAACCAAGTGATATCATATTGTACATTGTTCTTTTCTGAAATCTTTTAATTTCAAGAGACATAATTACTCTACAGTCAAGCAAGCTCAAGTTTACATATCCAAAGACAAACAAATCAAAATATATATCTTTAATTTAAGGCATGTATACATACATATATACTTGTGATGCAACATGTAAGTGGTCATATTCTAAAAGTTTATTTGCAAGTCAAAAGTTTGGAATTTGAAGCCAGGCACAGTGGCATGTGCCTGTAGTCCCAGGTACTTGTGAGGTTAAGGTGGGGGGATCTCTTGAGCCTAGGAGTTTGAGGCCAGGCTGGGCAACATAGCGAGAACTCATCTCAAAAAAAAAAAAATTTGGAACTTGAAACATATTTTTCATAGAACTAATCTATATAGCTAGGTTTTTAAGCCATCCCACATAAAAACATTTAAGCCATAACGTTATGAATGTTAATATTATTAATACTATGGAACTAGGCCAAGCGCGGTGGCTCACACCGGTAATCCTAGCACTCTGGGAGGCCAAGACGGGCAGATTGCTCCAGGTCAGGAGTTTGAAACCAGCCTGAGCAAGAGCGAGATCCGTCCTCTACTATAAATAGAAAGAAATTAATTGGCCAACTAATATATATAGAAAAAATTAGCTGGGCATGGTGGCACATGCCTGTAGTCCCAGCTAGTTGGGAGGCTGAGGCAGAAGGATTGCTTGAGCCCAGGAGTTTGAGGTTGCTGTGAGCCAGGCTAAGGCCACGGCACTCACTCTAGCCTGGGCAACAAAGCGAGACTGTCTCAAAAAAAAAATACTATGGAACTTAATCACTTGGTATACCAATATATCTAGGGGAAAATATGATAAGCATTTCAAATTAAAAGCCAAGTATGGCTGGGCGTGGTGGCTCACACCTGTAATCTAGCACTCTGGGAGGCCGAGGCGGGCGGATTGCTCGAGGTCAGGAGTTCAAAACCAGCCTGAGCAAGAGCGAGACCCCGTCTCTACTATAAATAGAAAGAAATTAATTGGCCAACTAATACATATATAGAAAAAATTAGCCGGGCATGGTGGCACATGCCTGTAGTCCCAGCTAGTTGGGAGGCTGAGGCAGGAGGATTGCTTGAGCCCAGGAGTTTGAGGTTGCTGTGAGCTAGGCTGATGCGCAGCGGCACCCTCACGTCTAGCCTGGGCAACAAAGTGAGACTCTGTCTCAATAAAAAAAAAAAAAAAAAAAAGCCAAGTATGTCTCTTCCTGTGTTGTACCGGGATCAAAGACTTTTCCAGCTCTAAACTGCTGGAGGTATCCCCTATGGCTTAAGGGAAGAGCATTCTGGCAGAGGGGAAGGTTTTTAGAGATACTAATGAGGAATGAAGAATAAGAGAGCAAGCCATTATAAGGACTAGAAACTTCATACCAGACTAAAATCGTTGTGTAGGCTGACTCAATAGAAATTTTTTCTTACAGCCTGGGCAACATAGTAAGAGCTTATCTCTATAAAAAATTATAAAATTAGCCAGGCATGGTGGCACACACCTGTAGTCTCAGCTACTTGGGAGGCTGAGGCAGGAGGGTGGATGAGCCCAGGAGTTGGAAGTTACAGTGAGCTATGATCAGACCACTGCATTCCAGCCTGGGTGACAAAGCAAGACCTTGTCTGTAAAAAAAATTTTTTTGCTGAGACATATAGGGATAAGCTAACCTATTTCTTCCTTTTTAAATAATTTTCACTACCTATCTATTGATTCTGACTAATGTTTAACTTGTCTGGTCTACTATTAACTAATAGAAACAATAGGAAAAAGATAGGAAGTTATTAAAGCTTTCTCCTAAGAGCATCAGTTCCACAACCCCACCCCTATTAAACCTTATGAAGATAAGGTTTAATAAAGGGTGGGTCTTTGGGTAGAAAAAGTACTAAAGTAAAACATTTCAAAGAAATATATAAACTCTGTTTACACATAACATTTTCTCACAGGAGCTTAAGCAGCAGATGAAATCTAAGATAGGGGAGGAGGCTAAGAAAAGGGAAGTGGAACTAAAGATCAAGACATAGTGGGTCTAAAGCAAGAACACCTACCATCTTTTCCTCCTACCACCACAGTAGTCACCAGTGCCTAGAGTAAGGTAAGAATGGAAGGGAGGAGGAAGGGGTAGAATGCCACAACCAAAAAAGATAGAGCGAGTAATAGGAGATTTCAAGACTAAATAGTGGAGAAGGAAAAAAAGAATTTCCAGGGCCATTTGGCCACCAAGTAGAGTACAGTCTGAAGTAAGTAATCTGTGTAAGTTAAGGGCAACTTGGTTCAGATTTTCTGATTTGTAGGAATCTCAGGAACATATGTTTCATTAATCACAATGATTGCCTAAATTTTGCAATAAATATACATTAATATAAATTCATACTCTAGGCATTTCATTTTGTGATTGAGACCAATTTAACTTAAAGTATAGTCAGCTGGCCAACAGCATTCCTATCACATGAGAGCAGGGCCCAGAAGCCTGTGCTTTAACAGCTCACTAGGTGATTTTTATTTTCATTACAGTTTGAGAAGTACTTCTCTATAGAAAAGATTCGTAAAATGGCTAGTTGGTCCATAAGGTATAGGGTGAGGTAGAGTTGTGCACAAGTAAAGACAATGCATGCCCCAGAATCATCCAATTCACACAATGGGATAGCAGTGACACAGAAGCACAAAACAGTAACTGACATGAACAAAGTTATTGATGTTGTTTTTCCAAGGAAGTTAGGCAGGGAGGATGCCACTATATGTTTTTTGAGATTGCTTTGAAACAGAAGAGGCTGCTGTAGCACTAGACAGAAAAAGAGAAATTGGGAGTTGAAGAAGAGCTGAGAATTGAAAGAGCAAAGTCAATAAGCACTTCCTGAGAAGTAATTCTGCAGAGGTTACTATAATCACAAATACCTAAGAGCAAAAGTTACAGAAAAACAAATCATTAAGAGGTTTCCAAAAGAGGATGAAAAGCAAGAAGACTAGGGCAGAAATCTAGGAACCTATAATAAAGGGAAATGTGGGAAGTGGTACCTCCAAAACAGATGCTCAAAAATAAACACTTAACAGCTGGGGTGTGGTGGCTCACGCCTGTAATCCTAGCACTCTAGGAGGCCGAGGTGGGCTGATCGTTTGAGCTCAGGAGTTCAAGACCAGCCTAAGCAAGAGCAAGACCCCGTCTCTACTAAAAATAGAAAGAAATTAATTGGCCAACTAAAAATAAATTAGCCGTGTTGGCCGGGCGCAGTGGCTCACGCCTGTAATCCTAGCTCTCTGGGAGGCTGAGGCGGGCAGATTGCTCAAGGTCAGGAGTTTGAAACCAGCCTGAACAAGAGCGAGACCCGTCTCTACTATAAATAGAAAGAAATTAATTGGCCAACTAATATATATATTGAAAAAAATTAGCCGGGCATGGTGGCGCATGCCTGTAGTCCCAGCTACTCAGGAGGCTGAGGCAGGAGGATTGCTTGAGCCCAGGAGTTTGAGGTTGCTGTGAGCTAGGCTGACTCTAGCCCAGGCAAGGCAACAGAGCGAGAGTCTGCCTCAAAAAAATAAATAAATAAATAAATACTTAAAATGTCTTATTCTTGAATACTGAAGAACAATAAAAAATGACAGTGTTGCCACTGGCATTGGCTTACTGCTTTCTTTAATGAGCACTACAGTGAAGCAAAGAATACTTTTTTGGCTGACAAGTAGTATGTTAATGTAATGGTATCTGAAATAGAAGTTTAGAGTGATTCACTAGCATTGTGAATTAATAACTGTGGATCAAGGTATTCTTTGGAAAGGCTATATTGTAGTTAACCTAACATTAAAGTTATTGAAATATAAGTATATTAATCCTCCAACACTAGGGATGCATATAGAACAGAGTAAAAAAGAGATTTTTAAAATATAAGACAACTGAGATAAAAGAAAATTAGACCATTAAAGATCAACTTACAGATGGGCCCAAAGGTAGTAAGTTATCTCGATTGTTCATAGTCAGTTACAGATTGAACTCTTTGTACTGCTCTTTCCCCCATTCTCACTACTGCACCTGACTAGTCTTTAAAAAAAAAAAAGTAACTTACAGATTTTTGGATTTCCTTTAATAGGAAACTTCACGACCATTTCCTGGGGATTTTTGCAGATGAAAACAAATGGAGAATCAGATTCTTGACTGATGTCTGGAAACTGTGAAACATAAAAATAAAAAGTTCAGGCTAGTTGGGATAAATTTTGAATTTCAAGAAGATCAAAGGATGCCCCAGATTTTACCTCAACATTCTGATAGTACTCTCCATTTCACAGATAAAGAGGATTATGCTCAACAAGCAAGAACAAACCTTCACCTTTCTGCAGCCCTTAGCATAGGATCATACAGTCTGGCCTCCTGTCTCTGACTTCTTATAGTAAGAACAATTTCATTAAAAAAAAAAAAAAAAAGGATGCCCGACATTCTCCTAGAAGAGTCAGAACTATTATTTTAACATAAGCAACTATGAGTCAGGAGATTCAGAGATCTCCTTCAGGAACATCAGGCATCCTCCTATTTCAATTCAAGTGAAGCACTGAAAGACTTAAGAAAAATAAAACATTTGTGGAAATTCTGCCAGAAACAGTACATAGAGCCCTTTTCTCACTAAAGGGAAGGAAGATGATTCATTCAGAAAGGTATGAACATGCAAAAGCTGTTTTGCTGGATGCTTTCCAGACTACTTAGGGTGAAAAGGTAACTGGTAGAGCAATTCTGAAAATTATTTACAAGCTCCTTTGGATCTCTTATCACAAAACAAATCTGTATAAATAGTTAGGACTTTTATTCCTTCTGTAAAAACAGATACAGAATCTAGAGTAAGACTATGCTGGCTACATAATTTAAGGAACAACTGGGTATTGGCAGAAAATGCTCTCTAGCAATGCCCAACTGATCTGGAATTTCATCTTGGGATGTCTTATGTTTAGTATGTTCAAAAAATATGATTCATAGACTTCTGGGTCAGACTTCATTACCAGAGGAGGCTTTCTCTGAATAACTACTATCAAAAGTATGAAATTACCTGTATTTTCCACTCTTATTCATCTGCTAAGATGTGTCTCCTAAAGATCTATGGTTCTAAAGTAGAAATATTGGTTTCAGTAAAAAAAAAAAAAAAAAACAATAAGAAAATTAAAATTTCTTTTGAACTAGTGGAAGTGTGAACAGTTAAAATTCTTTATTGGCCCGGCGTGGTGGCTCACGCCTGTAATCCTAGCACTCTGGGAGGCGGAGGCAGGCAATTGCTTGATGTCAGGAGTTCAAAACCAGCCTGAGCAAGAGACCCCATCTCTACTATAAATAGAAAGAAATTAATTAGCCAACTAATATATATAGAAAAAATTAGCCGGGCATGGTGGCGCATGCCTGTAGTCCCAGCTAGTTGGGAGGCTGAGGCAGAAGGATTCCTTGAGCCCAGGAGTTTGAGGTTACCGTGAGCTAGGCTGACGCCACGGCACTCACTCTAGCCTGGGCAACAAAGTGAGACTCTGTCTCAAAAAAATAAATAAATAAATAAATAAAATTCTTTATTGACTACTCTTGTCTGAGGTGATTAAGTGATGCTGTGGAGAAAACAGAAGAGATTTTTGGTAGCTTTTTGTCCTGCCCATATACCATGGCTTTCAGAACAGGTATGGTAAAACAGGTATGATAAAACACATACTTAAATGAAGTATTGGTCATAATCACATTCACAGACAGAGGTAAAATGTTCATATGGAAACAAAAGACTAAAGATGGGAAGGTAAATCTCCTCTTCTTTCCTTATCCTCTGGATTTTTGGAACTCCAAGAAAAGCAAGGCCCAGATATTGCTGGGTATTAGAAGTAAGCTCTACACAAGATCCATGCTGAGGTGCTCTGGCACAAGACCAAAGGCTGCCATCAAGATCTTCAAACCTAATTCTACAGAGGCCAAAGCAGCAGCAGTCACCATCTCTTCAATTTTCCTGCTTTCCCTTCTCTATGGCTGAGAGAGCCTCAAAGCAAAGAACAATGTGTTAGGAATTCATTGCTTTTCCAAAAAGCCATTTCAGTCATTATCTCCTCTTTCTTCTACATCAATAATTCTTCAATCTCCACTGGATCAATACCATTAATACACATTCTATAATGTCTGGCATGAATAAAAACTCCTATCCAGATCCCACATCCTTCTTCAGCTACTACTCTGCTTATCATACCCCCTTTACGACAAAATTCATCAAAAGATTATCTGTACTGCCTGCCTTTAATTCTTCTTCTATTTTTTTTCTTGAACTCACTGTAAACAGGCTTTCACGCTCATCACACCACCAAAATTAAAGGTCATTGTTGACTTCCATGCTGCTATGTCAAATTGTCAATTTTCAGTTCTCTTCTTAATTAATCTGTCTGTAGAACTTGATAGAATCCTCTTCCTCTTTCTTGTGCACATTCCTCACTTGACTTCCAGGATACCATTCTATTCTTGTTTTTGCTACTGTACTGGCTGTTCCCCATCTCCCTGCCTTTAAATGTTGGAGTGCTATAGAGGTCAGACCTCAGACTTCATCTCTCTCTACATTTACAACCTTGTTGATCTCCTTCTGTCTCAGAGTGAAAAAAAAATCTATCTATATGAATTTTCCAAGGTTCTAGAAATGCAAATCAAAACCACAATGACATACCACTCCATACTCACTAGGATGGCTATTATGAAACAAAAAATAATCTGTTGGCAAAGATGTGAAGAAATTGGAAGCCTTATGCATTGCTGGTGTGAATGTAAAATGGTACAACTGCTGTGGAAAACAGTTTGATAGTTCCTCAAAAGGTTAAACACAGAATTACCATATGGCCTAGCAATTCTAATTCCAGGTATATACCCCAAACAATTGAAAGCAGGAACTCAAACAGTTACTTATACACCAATATTCATAGCAGTATTATTCATAATAGCCAATAGTTCCCACAATCCAAATGGCCATCAACCATTGGATTGAATGGATTCAATCCATTCATCCATTCAACCAATGGATGAATGGATTGACAAAATGTGGCCAGGTGCCATGGTGGCTCACACCTGTAATCCTAGCACTCTGGGAGGCCAAGGCAGGAGGATCGCTTGAGCTCAGGAGTTCAAGACCAACCTGAGCAAGAGTGAAACCCCATCTCTCTGCTAAAAAAAAAATAGAAAAATTAGCTGGGTGTGGTGGCTCAAGCTTGTAGTTCCAGCTACTTGGGAAGCTGAGGCAGGAGGATTGCTTGAGCCCAGGAGTTTGAGGTTGCTGTGAGCTAGGCTGATGCCATAGCACTCTAGCCCGGGTGACAGAGCGAGACTGACTCAACAAAGAAAAAAACAAACCAAAACAAAATGTGGTATATAGCATACATACAATGAAATATTATTCAGCCTTAAAAAGGAATTCTGGGCCGGGTGTGGTGGCTTATGCCTGTAATCCTAGCACTCTGGGAGGCCGAGGCGGGCGGATTGCTCAAGGTCAGGAGTTCAAAACCAGCCTGAGCAAGAGCGAGACCCTGTCTCTACTATAAATAGAAACAAATTAATTGGCCAACTAATATATATAGAAAAAATTAGCTGGGCATGGTGGTACATGCCTGTAGTCCCAGCTACTCAGGAGGCTGAGGCAGGAGGATTGCTTGAGCCCAGGAGTTTGAGGTTGCTGTGAGCTAGGCTGACGCCACGGCACTCTAGCCTGGGCAACAGAGGGAGACTCTGTCTCAGAAAAAAAAAGAGAGAGAGAGAGAAGAGCAAAGCAGCCTGTAAGTAATAAAGTAAGGCTTATGCATTGGGAGAAGGGATTATTTTCATTGTCAAATGCATTAAAGCAAAGTTAGCTAAGAAGAGCCTCAGAACCTCCAAAAGAGCAACTAGAGCCTGGACAGTAAAGACCATATTACACACTAACAAGTCAACGGCTTACAAGTAAGGGATCTTTGGTCTGAGAGTCAAAAGACTAAAATGCAGCTGACCCAGATAAAAAAATAAGAGAAGGGAGGTAGAATGTGGATGTCACATCCAACTTAGATGCTAGATTAAGAGTCCCTAACATAGCACAATAGACAGGTTAGAGAGTTCTAAAATCAAGCAACTACCCAAATTTGGTTAAAAGACTCTTCAGGAAGTTCCTGTTGTTCTTGACTACAAGGACTCCTATTCACCTGGTTTCCAGCTTGAGGAATGGGGGAGGTGGGCTTACTCTTTTTTCATGCCTCATAAGTTTCATAGCTGTCTAACATAACAGGTAATTAACTACTAAACAGCCATTTTCTTCTCCTCTCCAGAGGGAAATTGTTCACCAGTCATCTAGAAAACATTTCTTTTGCCATTTTCATAAGAGAAAAAAAAGGTTAATAGGTTTTGGCAACCACCACTGACTCAGAACCAAGGGGGCATTTTCACCAAATCTGTAAGCTTTGTTTTCTATTGAAGTGATCAATAATTCCTAAACTATGTCACTCTTCACAACAGATGACTGATATATCTTATACCTATCTCCAGAGGACTAGCAGCTAAAGCAAACAATAAGGAACTCATTAACAAAGAATGTATATTTGCTGTTGGTTTTCTTGGTTTGAACTTTGGGGATCTAGATAGCACATGAAATCAGGCTCTGAAATCTAGTTAGCTGAAAACCAACTCCAAGAAGATTGAAGTGATAATAGAAAGAGAGAAGGAAATGAGTCTGATAAAGAGGCTACAAGCACAACAGATCCAAAGAACCATATCCTGAAAGCAACTGTGCTCTCAGATAGTTCACATTTACGTTTTTCTTCAAAGCAATTCAAGGTGTTCACAGTATCACTAGTATCTGAGGGTAACATACTGATCACAGTACTTTGACCAGATGACTACTGCATTATTGACTAGAGTCAAGATCACACCAGCAGGCCAAAGTGGAATAGCTGAACTCCCTTGTACCAGCACCCAATTCAAGTCCTGTGCCCAGTATTAAAGACAGAGGCTTCCAGCTCAATGCAGGAGAAACAATGGATATATGTACCAGGAAAAATGAATAAGTAAGTAAGAGCAAGCTTATGGATCTTATGGCTATTTGTGGAAGACAATGTGGTTGAAGCCACACAGCACTGATCTCCTGGCCTCATCCTACTCACAGTAACATTTCCACTGTGATTTTCTGTACCCTTTGAAATCTTATACTAGAACTTCCGCA